TGGGACCCTAACAGGTACTACCACCAGGGGTCAGGCTGGATCTGGGAACACCAGCAATTAAGAGGTATTTTTTCTTTTTCTTCAAAACTGTATTCCTGGTATTTTTTTTATTCAAAAATATATCGTTGGTAATATTTATTTCTTCAAAAATATATTGCTTGTAATATTTTTTTAACAAAACTGTATAGCTGCTAATATTTTATGATTCAAAAATGTATTGCTGGTAATATTTTTTTAACAAAACTGTATAGCTGCTAATATTTTATGATTCAAAAATGTATTGCTTATAATATTTTTTTAACAAAACTGTATAGCTGCTAATATTTTATGATTCAAAAATGTATTGCTGGTAATATTTTTTTCTTTAAAAATATATTAATGGTAATATTTTTTCTTCAAAAATATATTGCTCGTAATAATATATTGCTGGTAATAATTGTTCCTCAAAATTTTATAGCTGGTATTAAAAACTATGTTTACACATTCATAGTGTTTTGATCAAGATTTGTGGGTTAACTATTTGCTCATATCTGGGACCCTAACAGGTGTTGCTACCACGGGTCAGGGTGGATCTGTGAACATCAGTAATTTTCCACGCTCTTCAATGCCTCCTGATCAGAGTCTTGCTGTTGAAAGTAGTTTATCGTTTTATCCAGGACATCATTTATTAAGTCAAAATTAGCATAGCGTTCTGTTTATAGAGACAAAGCAATTTCAACGGAGACAAAGCAACAAAGCCTCTAAGACGCAAATGTATTACTGAGTGTGAAAGAATATAAGAAAAGTATTATTAATGAGTGAGAAAAAATAAAGAGGAATCTAGAAGACAGGGGATAACGATTGACAAGAAACCTGAAGAGAGTTCCACAAGCGAAAACTGAGAGAAAAGAAACTGTTTGCATAGAACTTACCGTTACATCTGGCCATTTCAACTGTAAAATGATGAGATCTAACCGCCAATCTAGTACTGCACTTAAATACGGATCGTCTAGGTACCATGGCAGAGATTTCATCAGAACAATTATTATGAAAATATTTATATAAAATGGCACAGTGAAGCTACGTTACGGGAGCCGAAATGCCAGGTGAGTACTAATGATATTGCAGATGCGTCTTTGGATTTTACAAAGATGACTAAATATATAGCAGGGGCACAATACTATACGTGGCATCAATAGTCTAAGACTATACTTATGGTACACATATAAATATGTAAGATAGATTCGGGTTAGACACAATGAAGAAACTTATCGTATATATATACATATATATATATATATATATATATATATATATATATATATATATATATATATATGCGAAGAAATATAGATTTAAGGTGTGCTATATTTATGGGATAAAGTGCTCAGTATCAGAGATAGAGCGTATGTAAATATAAATATAAAAGTGAACACTGAAGTCAAAACACAGAGGCGACAGGATGTTTCATGCTAGGTGCAATCGTCAGGCCGCGAATATTGGATCTTTCCTCGATTATTTATATATATGGGTCAGTGGTGCATTGTGGGTAATCTATTCTGGTGCTTATTTTTTCGAGAGTTTATCTATTTATTTATTTATTTGGGGTAATTTATTTGTTTTTCATTTTCATTTTATATTATTTTTTCTTTTCGGTTTTAAAGTTTTATTAACGTAGGAAATGAATGGTGGGGGAATTTGCTGAAGTCGCTTATTTAATAGTCTTCGTCAGATATATATATATATATATATATATATATATATATATATATATATATATATGGAAGCAAATATATGGATATAGATCCGACAGCATGAAGCATATTTTCTTCATATATATATATATATATATATATATATATATATATATATATATAGATATATATTCATGAATTATTCATACTAAAAACAAATACAATACATTTAATTGGCGAGAAATCCACCGTCGCGAACAATTCAAATTGGATTTCTCGCCAATTAAATCATTAACCTTTGTATTAGTTTTTGGGATGAATAATTCATAAATTTGTAAATTAATTGCACCTTTATTGAATATATATATATATATATATATATATATATATATAAACTTGAAAGCAATACTCATACAACAAAAACAAACATCAACAAATAAAAGCAAAATCTCGCATCCTCAAATTTATATAAAAACATGTCACACCTTGCTGACGTCAGAGCAATCGTTGTCTACGTCACAACACTCACTAGTTCTACGAAACTCACCAGTTGACTCAGCCTACGTTAAAGATGAATAAGAATGATAGAGAATATTTCATGGAATTTATTCTATCATTAATTTAATCCACACAAAATGTCTGTTGTCTTTAACAATATTTGCCTTGTAGAAAAACTTGCTACCTAAATTCATAGGATATATATTGTTGTAACTTAGGAAAGTTACTGAATAGAATAGGTTGGTAATGAACGGTAATACTTAGGACAAGAATAATGCATATGAGTTTCGCAAGCAGCGCGTAGAAGTCGTCAACTACTAGAAGTGAGTCAAGCGAATTCCACAATGAATCTTCAACTATATTTACTACTGTATTTATGGGAATAGGATCATATGAATCTTCAACTATATTCACTACTGTATTTATAAGAATAGGATCATATGAATCTTCAACTATATTCAGTACTGTATTTATGAGAATAGGATCATATGAATCTTCAACTATATTCACTACTGTATTTATGGGAATAGGATCATATGAATCTTCAACTATATTCACTACTGTATTTATGGGAATAGGATCATATGAATCTTCAACTATATTCACTACTGTATTTATGGGAATAGGATCATATGAATCTTCAACAATATTCACTACTGTATTTATGGGAATAGGATCATATGAATCTTCAACTGGATTCACTAATGTATTTATGGGAATAGGATCATATGAATCTTCAACTGGATTCACTACTCTATTTATGGGAATAGGATCATATGAATCTTGACTATATTCACTACTGTATTTATGGGAATAGGATCATATCCATTATCGTCCGTCGGTTTGCTACAACATTTCTTCAAATCACATCGGCAGAGGGAGAGGGCAGAGGGAAATTCTAGCGTATTATTTTTACGAATGTAAACAAGCGCCATATATATATATATATATATATATATATATATATATATATATATATATATATATATATATATATATATATAAACTGTCTCAATTTCCTATTCCTTGTAATGCTAGGTAATCTTTTCTCTTTTATCTACCCTCAAAGTTATCTACCCTGTTTTTTTTCTGCTACCCATTTATTTACACAGGCTCGTCAGGTAGGTTACTCACGGTTTTCCTCTGGTATATTTGCCTTTGTTATATACTGTGAGTGTTAGATTTTCCAAAGCCCTCTTTATTCACTTTACAGGTTTATTAAAAAAGAATGAACTAATGTCATGGCGCATTGTTTCAGTTCTCAAGCAGCAGCATGGATTCAGTAGGTGACCATTTCAAAGTGGAGTTTTCTAAGTTTTTAATGGTTGCCACAGGAGCGCTGTGGTCATGTCGTATCTCTGTCAACGTTAAGGTTGTTTGTTTTCCCCTGGAATGTGAGTCATCATCTAAAGACGTTCTGCGTTCTCGAGTTCCCGAAGACAAATTCGGTTGTCACGGTGCAACGTACTTTTCGAAAGCAATTCGACATTAATCCGCCCTCTCGTTCGACGGTGGTTTAAACATTCAAGAGAGTAGGTGCCTGTGCAAAGAAAAAAAGTCCAGGACAACCACGACTTTCAGAGGAACATATGACAAGAATCCGTGATGCATTTAAGCGGAGTCCACGGAAGTTCACAAATTCGAGCTAGCCGTGAGCTTGCGATCTCTCAATCCACTATCTGGCGTGTGCTAAGAAGTACCCCATCGATGGATTGGTCGGAATGGGCCCCAAGACCTTACTCTTTGTGCTTGGACTACGAGATTTCCAGACATCACCCTGTATGGTTTTTTCTTGATTTGATACGTAAACTAACTTCGATGACCTTAAATATCGAATAACAACAGCGATCAACTCAGTGGATCATGATATGCCGATACAAATCTGGTAGGAATTCTCTTAACGCATTGATGTTGCCCGTAGTGCAGGTAGTGGCCACATTGAACGCTTGTATGACCGGAAATAAAAATAAATTGTGAGTAGAATGCTTGTGACTTGGCCGGAGTTTTCTATAGATTTTCCTTATTAAGATATTGCGTAATGAAATCGGTTCGTTCTTCTTTAATAACCATGTACATAACTGTTGCTTCAGTGTTTTTTCAGTTTTTCCATCTCCGCACATTTGTCATTAAGCCATTTCTTCTTTCTTTAATTTCCTTTCTTTTTGTGTTTTTTTAACAGCATTTCTTTGGCACATTTACTTGGTACTATTTGTTGTTTGTTGCTTTCATTCTGTCGAGAATTTAATGAGTAATCCATTCCTTCTTCGTGTTTTTCTTCCTCGATATGACTTCTTTTGATCTCCTCGCACGTCTTTATCATAAGCCATTCCACTGTGGTTTTCTTACTCCACGCCATTGCAAAAGCTATCTCGTAAAAAAATTTCATATTACAGTTCTATTTACTGTACATTGTAATATAAACCTAGGTTTTCAGGAAATAAAAAAAACTTATTCTGACCCATTGTATCATGTACTTGTTAAGAAAATCCATATTTTTAATAGTGCACAAAGTTTAGAACGCCGAAATAAGATGATGAGACCAAACGTATACCATTGATTTTACAGCGTATCAACCTTTTACAGGTTTTAAAGCTAGAAAATATTTTTAGATTTTAAGAAAATTTTGGAGATATTAATGATTGTTATTCATACAAGTTATACTAATTAATCCCTTGTTTGGTGAGGATATGTGTACTTAATTCCTTTCCTAAGCGTATTTGCGCGTTAATGACTATAAAGAACTCGAGTGGAATGGAACTCGGCTCTCCCATTTCAAATTCCGAACGTTATACATTACAACATCAGCTCATTCAATCTTATAGATTCAGATAATCCCAAGTTGTCACCTATCTACGTACTGACCAGGCTCGACGTTGCTTAACTTCGCTGATCGTATGAGAAGCGGTGTTTCGACGTGATATGGCCAAAAAGCAATATGCCCTTGGAAACCCCTTAGATGTTGAGGTTCTAGAATGTTTTGGTTTTGAGAGATCTTCAATTAAGTGAACGATTAGATATAAAGAAAAAAAAATCAATCTGATAGATATTGTCCTGTGTATTCTTTATTAACTCTGGGCTTATACTGTGCAAGATTTTGAAACGCTTCTTATCTCCAAAAAAAGTGGCTTATCTACAGTAAAAGTAATAAAACGGCCTAAGAATAAAATGAAAATAACAGTGAAAATTGACAATCGTCATTTTCGGAGCAAGTTAACGACTTAGCGACTCGTAGAAAATTTAGTTCTAGCTTCGTATTACAACGTGCCGTAACATTTCTTCTTTATTTATTGTAAATCTATGGGACTTAATGTCTTTTTTAAACTACCTGGCCTTTTCTAAAGTGTCGCATTGATTCTTAACCGCGGCTTCATCTGTTTGTTTGCAAATCGAATAACGGTGGTTTTGGCGCCTGGGCATTGCTTTTCGATTCTTTAATTCCTGTAGTTTACATTGGTTGGTTGATTATGTTTAGCGGCATATTAACATTTAGGGATTACCTAATGCCGAAATTGAAATATTTTGTACACACTTTTATGGCTTCAACTAAATATATTTTGAATACATTTGCATGTCTTAAACTACCGTTAAAATATATTGTTTGTACTTTTGCTATAAAATGTTTTTGGCAATTCAGTACTATAAAATATATGGTTGGTATATCTTTATATAAAATGTATAGATGGTTCATTTTGCTTTAAAATAGTATTGTTTATAATTTTACTATAAATATGTATTGTTGGTCATCATCATGGTTTGGCTCCGCAAAACGAAGATCTCGAGGGAGCCTGTACACGTCGCTTGTAGGCAAGTTTAAGACTGATAAGGCCAATGCAGGACAGACATATACGGTCGCAACAGTTACAGCTGAAAGTCCGGCCTGAATCGATGGCATAACGTTGCAGTACTTCCTGCTCTGCCTCTTGTCCCTGAGAGCGGTCCTGCAGGTATTTTCAAAGAAGGAGACAGCATGGTTGGTGGTGAGAGGCCAGGCGTCATGGTTCTCAGCTAGGGTTGACAATTGGCAATGGTTAATGTGACAAGTATCAAAGGATTTTTCAATCTTTGAATCGCTTCTTTGGTGCTCCTCTGCAATGATAGGCAGTGGAGACGAGACCGTACAATAACATTTTGTGCCGGCGATGATTCTCCATCCTGGAAACATGTCCAGCCCAGCACAGCTGGGACTTTAACAGCATGGCCTCAATGCTGGTGATCTTCGCCTATTCAAGAACTTCAATATTGGAGACGAAGTCACTCCAGTGTATGTTAAGTATCGTTCGGAGGCAGAGTTGGCTGTATTGTTGTTAAATTTACTATAAATGCGCATTGTTGCTATATATATATATATATATATATATATATATATATATATATATATCGCTTGAGGATGAAATGGAACTAATGTCTTTAATTTAATTACAAAATTAAATTCGAGCTTTCAGCTTCCATTTTTGAAACATGGTTAGAACTTCGTAGCGAAAAAAACATATTTTCAATCAATTAATTTATAATATTAATGCTCTGTAAATTTACATTGATCACTATATTATCTATAAGAACACCGGATTATATATCTTACTGTTCTTTCTTTATATATATATATATATATATATATATATATATATATATATATATATATATATGATTTTTATACTTTCATAGTATTTCTTTTTGTTTAGAGTTCACTATTTGCCTATACCTGGGACCCTAACAGGGGCTACTACCCCGGGTGAGAGAGAACCTAGGAACAACAGAAATTAAGAAGTCGTTCCACGATACTTATAATCTCAAATCTCCCGATCAGGGGCCTTACTGTCGAATGTAGTTTATATCAAGGACTATCTAGTTTTAACGTTGCTTTGTATGTCATTAAGAGGTGATCACTCTTGCAGTAAGAACTTGCGTATGCTTTTGCGTGCAAGACTACGTGTTTATATCTTTTGTTGATGCTTAATCTGCCTTCCTTATTTTATTTATATCTCCTGCAGTGCTTTACCGAATACACAAGTCTGGCGTGTTTGTCAAACAATATGTTAGTTATTATTTTGTTATGCACCAATGAATCTATTTTTCTCTACGTTTGTTGCGTGACCTGTCTATACTCACCGGCCATTTCACAATTTTCTTTCATTCTTGCATTAACAATTTCATCCTCTGTGATAATGGTACTTGCACCGAATTTTGGCATTTTCTAGTGTGTTTTTAAAAATATATATCTATATCTTTTTCGCTGCAACTTGGCTTTGATACCTAACCACGACGTCTATTTCATTATAAATGCCATGTTGAATCGCTTCTCTTCATATTTCTACATTTTCTTTTTATCCTATATTAGTCCGACTCCTCTTTCACATCTTATTTTATATGATCTTGGCTTACAAAATTACTACAGTTATTGTATCTTATTTATCAGAAAAATAGCGTTAGAAACAAAGAACAGAGAACAGAATTGTTATGTAGTATCAGTCCTTCTATATGCGATGAATACTATAAAATCTCCTCATCGATGGACAGACTTGAAGCAACAGAAATGAGAATACCATGGGTCGAATATCTGAACGACGACGAAGTTCTAGACGTAACTGCAACAGAAATGACACATACTTAACACCACTAAGTGACAGTTGAGTTTTCTATGACACGTAATGAGGAAAGAAAGCTTGGAAAATTTATACTCACAGGTCATATTGAAAGTAAGAGAGACAGAGGAAATCAATGTACAACCTACATGGGGAGATTGTATACATGGATGCTAGGTATGGATTCGAAAAAGAGAAACGTTATTAACAGCTATAAGTGACAGGAAGCTGTGGAGAGTCATAATCGTCAACATCCTGAAGGAACACGGCACATAGAAGAAGCTCTAATATTTTATATCCCAATTATGACTTCGTCTTTGCTGAAAACAGTCGCACTGCACCGCCTAACCGGATGAGAAATTCTAAAGATCACTCCTTCCTGGGTAAGACGATAAACTACGTCCAACAGCAAATCAGGAGGTTTTGCTGGTGTTCCCATGTCCACACTGACCCGGGGTGGGAGCACCTGTTATGATCCCAACTATGGGCAAATAATTAACACTCAAACTGAAGTCAAAACATTGTGAAAGTGTAAAAATAGGTTTTAATACTAACAATAAATATTACCAGCAATACATATTTGAAGAAAATAAATATTACCAGCAATACATATTTGAAGAAAATAAATATTATCAGCAATACATATTTGAAGAAAATAAATATTATCAGCAATACATATTTGAAGAAAATAAATATTACCAGCAATACATATTTGAAGAAAATAAATATTATCAGCAATACATATTTGAAGAAAATAAATATTATCAGCAATACATATTTGAAGAAAATAAATATTACCAGCAATACATATTTGAAGAAAATAAATATTATCAGCAATACATATTTGAAGAAAATAAATATTACCAGCAATACATATTTCAAGAAAATAAATATTACCAGCTATACATATTTGAAGAAAATAAATATTATCGGCTATACATTTTTTAAGAAAAAATTTCCCAGTAATAAAAATCTTGTCGGTATTAAATAACCCATTCAGGTTAATATACCGTAAAACAAACTAAACCAAACCAAACTAAGGATCTTGTTTCTCGCTGTTATGTGTGGGTTCAAATTCGTCATGTGCTTTTTTTTTTTCTCGTTATGAAGTTGTTTCCCATTGCCTTTTTTGCATTTGTTTGTATGGACATTGCGACTTTCTACGTTAAATCCAGCGTTTTTCACCAGTTGCATTTCTTTTCTGTTTTGTTGTTTATAAATATTTTAATGTAGCATCGATGTGGATGGTTTGCCGGGTTTAAATGACTATAAATACTGGTTATAGAAATTTCTCATAGGCGAAGACGTTTCGGCTTTCAATTAAATACGTCGCCAAACATACTCTGCTGCCACACAATGATTTGACATGGGAATAAGTGTAGTGATGGCATATACTCTGAATCCCTCATACAACAATCAAAATAAGGATGAATATAAAGGTACTAGTAGATTGGGTGTCAAGGTCAGATCCTTTTAAAATTGAAATGACTAGACGTAAAAGTAAGGTCCATACTAACCGTTACTTCCCCCGAATTGCTTAATTGTCAAACTCTCTTCTGGCTTCTTGATCTCCAGTTAATTTTGATCTTCAAAAACTTAAATTTAATGTCAATCGTTATCTTCGGCCCTTTTCAATTTCTGTTCGTTTATTTATCTCTCTCCTTAATAATGTTTTGTCTTACGCCTATTTTCTCGCGCTCAGTAATCTTTGCGTCCTAATGGCTTTAATGTTTTGCTTGGAGTGAATTGATTTAAAAAGAAATGTCATATATTCTAAACACTTCAAACACCTTGGTGTATAAATTAGATGCAGCCTGTGCCGGACTGGCCAGTGTGACCCGATGAAGTGAGACCCTAAATAAAATAACAATGCAATAAAGAAACTGTTATAGTCAGAGTTAAGACCAAGGAAGAACAACACGAACATAAGAGTAGAAATACCGAAGGTATATTACACGAAATAATAATACAAGCTGTGGAAGGTGTTAGTATGACTGTCAGTCTGGTTTGGAGTGAACTACTATCGGCTCGAATCGATTCGGTATCTAGCCCCTCACCAACACGAGGGTTCCATGTGGCACAAGGCCGAGTTTAATGTGGGTTTCCCGAGCCCGTAGGCTCGGCCAAAAAATGCCCGTAGAACCCGTATAAACGGGATCGGGTTGGTTCGTCAGGTTCCTCTTTGCTCAGAGGCAGAGAGTTCGACCGTCAAGCCGAGAGGCTCGTCTTGATTCTGTATCTAGCCACCCCCCACGAGGGTTGCATGTGGCACAAGGCCGAACCCGTATAAAGCGAGATCGGCTTGGAACGAGGTTGCCCTTTCGTCCGGGTTCCTTTCTGCTCAAAA